CTATTTCCACGCGTTAGTCCACGTGGCTAATACATTTTCTCGGGCTGCCAAGATCGTTAGGTATTGTAAACAACCCTTATTAGTCCAAGTAACCAGCCACGGTCTGGGGGTCTAGGGGCCCAGTCTGGAAACTGCTCCGAGGGGCCCCAAGAGATACCTTTTTTGCCGGCAAGGGGCCCCAAAATATACCTTTTTGCCTTCAAGGGCCCCAAAAGATACCCTTTTCGCCTGGGGCCCGGTCGGGAAAATTTAGTTGACTGCTATGCAACGAACACGTAAGTTCTCTGAACTAATATTTAGTTGGATCAACTAAAGTAGTTTTTCCGTGCGGCCATTCGATTCTTTGTATGTTTACCTGTGGCTTAGAAGAGCGCACTGCAACCATCAACAACATTTGGCGTGTTTTGGGCGGCAAGGCGACCCAGTCACAGTGGTACGCGGCTTTCGCAAGGCCACCGCTGGCATGGGCCAGAGAGTCACCCAAGAGACACAGGTAGAAGTAACTGACGGGGGCCACGACGATGAAGATGAGGCTGAGAGTGTCGCTACCGCGCACAGCCAGACGCACCGCACTCAGCATTGACGTGGAGCCCCCCGCCCAGAAGATGACGAGAAGAAAGCGACGAAACACGTGGTTGAGGTCCTGGCACAATGTTTACTCAATTTACTTGTTCAGTTGACTTTGCAATGAGGCAGCGCACAGGAAAATCTGTATCAATATAGGGTTTTGATCGCCCTCAAAGGTCCGTTACTAGAAGCGCGATCGGCGCGCTCTTTCCCGCGCAAAGTACAAGTATTTTATATGCTGTTTTTCACTAAACAGGGGCCTGAAGTCCAAACCAAAGTTCAGAGGGTTGTAGTTTGACACTTCGTCTTTTAAACTATGTTAGTCGAGTTTAATAAATCTTGCGTTAGTGCGATAAAAATAGTGTTTTCTGGAGGCCTGCGACGAGTCTTCACCTCCTTCCCTATACTCTTTGAATTGAGTTACAAAACGATTGCCACCGATTGCCGCGGTTTGGCGCATTTCAAATTGAAATTCAAACATTGGAGCTTTGATTCCGAGTGAGAACGGCTGCCGCAATCCGCCGCTTTAGCTTTGCGGAGCAAAATTAAAGAGGTGTTTTGAGGTTAGGAACGTCCCTCTCTTGACGCAATTTTTTAAAAGTTTTACTGTCGCTTGGCGTTTCCAGGAGTCTAAATGTCGTTCAGTAACAGATTATCAGTGCCACAAATTCATTTCACAGGTTTCCCTTTGATTCGCGCCTAGAAAATGCCACATATTTCGATCTGAAACTGACTCTTTCGGTCCACTCAACACATGCCACACTGTGTGGAATCTTTTAGTCTTTCCCCACTAAATAGGAGGGAATTCCAGGTCATTTGTGATCAACTTTTACTTAAACAACCCTTCAAGAAGGTTTTATTGGTTAGATGAT